CTCTCTCTCTCTCTCTCTGTTTAAACTCAGATGCATGTGCACTAGGCTCACTAGCCATCTGCAAATGGGATCGTTCGCAGGAACGCACATGCACGTGCGCACGCACGCACACGCGCACGCGCACACACACACAGACAGACACACACACACACACAAACACAAACACACACACACACACAGAGAGACTAGCAGACACACAAGCAGTTCTTTAATGAATCCCAGGCCCCGGGCCGGCATAAGATTCGGAGTCACAGGGTGCCTCTCTTTCTGGCAGGTCGAGGTGTGCTTTCTGTCGGCGTTGTATAGGAGCCTGATCAGTGATGCTTCTACTTAAATACAGAACATGGGAGGCGATGACCCCAGAGTGCAATTGGAACTGTTTGGACCCTGTACCGTGTTTGCCCATGCTGTCGGCCTGTCATGTTTGGCTGCCACACCTTCAGACTGTCTAAACGAGGCCTTGGGAAGCCCCTTAACCCTGAGCCGAGCTTGACATATCCAGTCTTTGCCTTTGCTTGTCTACGGCGATTAGATTCATGACTGCTAGCTGCTAGCATCGTCACTATTTGCAACTAGTTTTCTTCACACCGCTATTCTGAAATTGGACGAGCCTGAAACTGAACGAGCCTGGCAGGTATGAACATGGGCTTCCAGGATGCCAAAAACCTGTCTTGGAAGCTGGCGACAGCAATCAAGAGTCTCGGCTCAATTACGGAATCTAACGAGTGAGCATGTAGCAGCACGGTTCTGCTGACGAACCACATTTCAGGGGTTGCGTTAGGGGTTGTGCAACGTTCTGTCGATGGCCATTGCAGAGAGCCGCGAAGGGTTGGCTTCGGCTTCCGGCCAAGCGCCAGTCCCATGGTTCGAGCCCAGGCTCCAGGAGACCCTGCAGCTGTACAGTCCTTTGAGCCCTTTCACTACGCAGTTCTCAGTATTTCGTGACAGCCTCGCAGGAGCCCGAAGAAAATTCCCCGCCTGATGTCAGGTGCGGCGGACCAACTTCTTCTCTGTTGCTCTCCTACGAAAGTGCTCGGGCTGCATCCACTCTTCGCTTCCATGTCTCCATGGCTTTGAGATGCTCTTCAAGGTTTTTCTCATGATGGACATAGGCCCTAGGCTGAAACCAAATCTGCAGAGAAGGATGCTGCACTGTAGTGCTGGCAAAACTTCGGTCTGATGCCCTTGTTGTGGGACATGCCTCAGACATGCTTCTGGTTCAGTCCCACAGCAGCACAACATGGCAAACACTACATGCATCAGCATCAACACCAACTCCGTGCTCGCAAGGCCACGCTCCGAGTTGGACTGTAACTGCAAAAAATGTGGCAGAGACGGGGAACAAACGTTCAATGCAGTCTTCGTTGAACGACGGTGGCAAAGAGACTTCTGGAAATTTACTCCGGACCTCGCAGGGCTAGTAGCTGCAATTAAGCAGGTGAGCGAAAGGTGCCTAGTCTGCATTTACGCGTGCAAGTCTGGATTGAAGCTGTCTGCAAGAGTCGAGCCGAAGCTGTCATTGTCATGTGTTCCAATACAGGAAGCACTGCACAATGCGTTGCTGCAAGCATTGAATCAGTTTGGTAATTTCCCAGCCATCGGAGTGATGTCCTGTGAATTTCTACGTTAAGATCTGGATCGTCGTGTTGTGGTGCCCCACTGAGACATTGGAGAGCAAGCTCCTCGCTGGCATCGAACGCACCTGGACTGCAGATTGCCGCGGTACGTTTGCCTGCCTTTTCGGAGCCTACAGGGGCCTCGGAGAAGCAAAATGAAAAGACAAGCCTCTTACCAAAGATAGCACGCGGGTAGCAGTGGTTCCGTCTTGCTGGCCGTGAAATTCCATGAACTTGCACTCGATGCGCCGGAATGGCTGGGCCTTTCTGGGATCTGAAGGTGGGCAAGAAGTCGTGTCCAGCCGGAACCCGCTGATCTTCTTCATGCGCGGCCGTGGTCAGAGGCCGATAGCTGCACCAAGATGATGGTTGGGGTCACCCGCTGGGTAGTAGCAGGGGCACAGGTAAAGCCATGAGAAGCCACGAAGGTGCAACTTCACCTCAGGAACTTCTTTGCCATGCCTTGATGTCGAGGCTTCACATTCCTCTGCACAGCCTCGTTTCCGCTTGAGGAGCAGAGACAGCTAGCACCTCGCAGAGAACCGCGCACAGTAAAGGTATAATCCCCGTTTACTCACGGACACATCTGTTCGACAATGTATGCCTTCATGCTCCAGTCCTGGAATGGTGCCCGATTTTATCCCCTGATGCACCTAAGCAAAGATCGCTGCACAAAACCTGGCTCGCACGGCCTGCCGAAAAAACAGAAGAGTGTGCACACGAAAGAGGTGTCAGCGAGGTAGGCGCGGCAGTTCAGCCTTCGGGCCAGGGGCGTCGCCATCTTGTCAGGCCAGGCGTGTGCCTTCCTGCCATGCTTCTGCCGACTCTGACTAGTCAGAATCACCCTCTCGCTTGCTCACTTCCGATCATCAGTCGCTTGTCAGTCAGCGCCTTCAATTCTGTTTGCCTGAAGGATGCCTGTCTGCCTCTGGAGCAGCTTTGTCCGCTCATCAGGTCCAGCCCCGAGGCTTTCCATTGACTGGGCTAAGGCTCCGTGCCTACTCCACCAGCCGACATGAATTTGGGCTAAGACAATTGGGAGACGAGATGCGGCCTGCATCGACATTTTGTTTTGGAGCTGTGACGATTTGCAGTTTGGCGCTCAGACTGACTCCAAAAAAAGCAGTATCAGGTTATCTCGTCGCCTGCCGTTCCCTGTGTCTTCTCTCAGTTGTGCGAGCAAAGTCTTAGGGGGGCAACATCCGCACGTTTACTCTCGATCGCAGGTTGGTGAACATGTTGTGGCTTGGTCTGCAAATAGCTGAGATGGGCATTCTAAGCCTTCTCAACCGACCTGGACCATGTACAACAGGGCCTTTGTACAGTTCTGTAGTGTAAGTAGCGGTAGGACCTGGTTGAAAGACACACCGACATAGAATTATGCTAAGAGGTTCAACCATGTAGCAGCCGCAAATCTTCAGCATTCTGAAGGTTTCAGGGGTATCCTTGGCCTTGAGCAACGATGGGTTCGAAGTACAGACTGTGAGAGTAGTAGTGAGTCACATAGTAGTTTCAGAGGCTTTGTTGCTTGCAGCCACAGCTCAGCTTTGGAAGCCCTTCACATGTGCATATCTGCACACTGTATACATGCATATATACATACGTAGATACACTCATACGGTGTCTAATGTGGTGGCTCGAAACGATGCGTCCAGTTCAGTGAAGCCCAGTTTTCCGATGCAGCTGGCGTGTGTGTGCCCAGAATCCGCAACCTTAAAGCTGTTTGAGTTGCACAGGGACTAGGCCCAGCTGCCTCAGGACCTTCCTTCAGCCGACCATCTTGAAGACAGTCGCCCAGCAGGCCCCTGGGAGCCCATGTACTTTCAACAGCACAGGCAGATTACATGACCTGGTCCCCACATACCGCGCTACACATGTCTCAGCTCGACTGAAGCAACCTGCCCAGAAGCAAGGCCGGATAGGCCGGGCACAGAAGGTACTGCAGATTGTGAGAAAGATGTCTGCCAACTTCTGTTGTTCCCCTGTAACACGGAATTCCCCAATCAGTCCATGACAACAGGAGCTCTAGAATCATGTGCGAGCTGTCGCACCTCCTCAATTTATCAGTTCTCCGTTCAGTTTAATGACAGCGATTTTCGGATCGATTGGACCTCCATAAAGGAAAGCTCAACCTGCCGGCCGTCCAAACTCCTCCTCCGACATCTCCGCAGATGTGGTCCTACCGCACCTCCTCCTTGTCCATGGAGCATTGGGAGCGTCCCGTTCCGACGTCCTCAGCCTAGTGTTGTGCTTGCATGTGCGCTTCGTGGTAAGTAGGACACACCGTTAACGTTCTGAATGTCTTTCGGCGTTGAGTTCCCATAGTTCCCGTATAGCAGCTGCCTTGAGGTGTTTCCCCATCACGAGCATTTGCCCTGCGGGTGGCTACCGAAGACGCCAGAACTTGCATCGCTGGGTCAAGACGAGGCGCCTGGAAGGTGGGTCCAGGTTGAAAAAACCACACTGAAAAGAGTGATGCCACCCACACCGTCGGGACAAGATCATTGCTGCTACCGGTCTGTAGGAGCCTCTGGTAGCCTTCGACAGAATCTCATCGTGATTTCTGCGCTGAAGCTTGACATTCTGGAACGGCTGGCTTGCAAGCACCACTGTTTTCTCAGCAAAAGTGTCTCACAGCCAGGGTCCATGCTGGAGATCGAGTTCCTGCTCCTGGGATGGAGATTGGCACAGGATGCCTGCAGTCGGCCTGATCTCAGGAACAGAAAACGAGATAAAGCGAGAGGGGAGAAAGACAGAGAACGAGAACTTAGGGATCTTAGGGTCCATTGTGCAGTCATCCATGTCCCCACGACTTGGTTGCTGCCCGAGAGCATGTGCTAGTGTACTGAGTGTGCCTTCTCCATCTTGAGGGTGCGGGAAGGCTGGGCGGGTGAGTACGGTCCTGCACGGCATCATTCCTCGAGGGCACGTGATAGTTTGTCGCCGCGCTAGACACCAGCTGGTGGCTCTCCTGTCTGAGCTGGGCGTGCCTGTCTGTGTTTGTCGTTATGCTTGCGTTGATGTAATTCTGTTTCTCCTTTTGTGTGGGTTGCGCGTGGGAGAGGAGCATGCGTGTGCGATCCAATGCAGTAGTCAGGATATTCAGTGCCGTGATGTGCGAAGTAACTAACCACTGTAAGGTCTCAACTGTTCGGATCGGAATCCCCCAACTGCAGGCTGAGAATTGAATCGACACAATGTGCCTGCTCAGGACGCGTCGCTCCCGGGCGGCATGCGTGTACATCAAATTCTCAAAAGATCGCGGGGCTGGACGCTACTGCTCTTCGAAGGCGGCATTTCGTGGTGGCCGCGGGGGTCGGTAGGAAACTTCCGGGAGAAACAGCAGGCGCTGCTTTGGACTTCTTGAGTTTCGAAGTGTTGACCGAGACCACTACCAAATGATGCCCCCCCCCCCCAAGACATTGGTAGAATCGGCGATGCTGCTGTCCTCGTTGGTCTCCAGTGGACTTTGTACGAGTGTCACCCAGATTGCAAGGCGGAGAAGAGGAGAACCTCGACATGGAGAAGCATTTGGGGAACAAAGTGCTGAGTTTGTCGGAGCTTGAGGCAGGACATAGTGGGAGCGGGCGAGTTTGCCATTTTGGATTGCTCGTGGCCGTCCGTACAATCACCATCAATGACTGTCAAACAACACCCTGTGCCCCCCCAAACACTCCACCCTGAATCACAAGCCCACCGCGAAGCCACAAGCATTGACGGAAGGCGTTCGGGGCTGGCTTCAAATCGACGTCCGACCCCACGAATTTCGTCCCGATGGTCGACGAGGCCGGAGCAGCGAGGATTAACTACATAGTGCCGCCCAGCCCTTTAGCAGCAGATTCGGGGCAGTCGGCAGTGGCAGGTGATCTGCTTTCCGGCCCAAGACGCTCCCCGGATGCAATGTAAGCCAGCAAACGCCAGATGGCAAGAAAGGTGGTTGCTGCATGTGATGCCTCAGCTTTCATGTTGTTTCCTGACCCCCAGGTCGAGGCGCATCACATCTTCGGAGTACATGGCCAGTGCCTGTTCTTGGTCCGACCGGATCATCATGTGGGCTTCCGATGCGAGCCCTTGCGAAGAGGCCGCACTGTGGTCAAGCATGAGATTGCATGTTGCAGGGGTTCTGGGGTTCTGTGTTGATGCTTGGGTCTGTTGGGAACGTTTCAAGCCTGTCAAGCTGAAGAGTTGGAGGGAAGAGAACGCAGTTGGAAGCATGCCGGGATTCTTCGTAGTGTTTGACCAGGAGCCGTGTACCGCTACTTCCGCCTGGCGTGTGGCATCAGCCACGGAATGCCGGAGGACAGCTTGTAAGCATGGTTTGGCTCCTTCAGGGACTACAGCGATGCAATCCGTAGGGCACTGAACAGTATGTGTCTTGTACTGAACTTCCTGAACCATGCCAGTTCCTGCCTCCAGCTAAGAATATCAACATCGCAAGGACAGGGTCTCTGCCAAGCCTCACTTAGCGCACTCTGCTCAGGATGCCCCTGCCTCTTCGCGTGTGTTCGATCCCCTGCCGGTGATCGTATGGACGCTGATCCTGCTGCTCGTGATTTTCCTCTTCCTTTGAAGAGAATAGGGCCAAAGAGCAGTGTGCTTCCGGATGCGAGCAGAGCCAAATTGAGAGACAGAAGAGGATGGTTATTCAATACTGCAGGTTCGATGTAGGCATTGTAGGCCATGCTTGAGATCTAGCTGCTTGTGTTTGGTAATTGCCTGAGTTAGGACATCCACAGCTGGAGTTGTTTCGGATACTTGAAGCTTGCACCCGAGGCATGCTGTAGCAGTCAGCGGCTAGTTCCATTGATTACCACTTGTTACTTAGTTCGTGGCGATCGCTCTCGAAAATGTCTGCCACTGGACAAGCATGAATCATGAGGCCGAGAAAGCTCGCATGAGTACCCAGCCAGCAACAAGTAGGAGGAACCACAGAAACAAACACAGCTTTTTTTCAATACTAATACTAAAGTGCTTGCTAGTGTAGCTGCTGCTGCTGTTGCTGCTGCTCCTCCTCCTCCTCCTCCTTCTCCTCCTCCTCCTCCTAGTAGTACTAATAATAGTATTAGGAATACTAACACTAATACCAATACTAATACTAATTCTCATTCTACAGAACAAGCGTAGCCGTGGTACGACGATGACGACAACACCTGTGCTGATAGTATGGAAACTGACAGTATGTATCATCAGCATCATACAGCTTAACAGCCAAAGTACAAGGAACGATAACACCGCGACGAACCACGCTTGTACCATCACGACAGTCTTCGAGTTTTCGTCCTTGGTCTGGTTTCCATGGCTGCCCATATTCAATGAAGGTTGCATTTTTCTTGAGTCTGTAGATTCGCGTCGGCTCGGTGTTAACTACGAGCGGCTTTCCGAGCGGCATTCAGAAAGGGTGTGCAATCTGAGCAAATACTTCGGGGGCCTTGCTTCACTATGGCGGCGTTTATCCCGCACTGTGGTTCTAACTATGGCGAATTCCGCACCGAATGTGCAGCACAACTTCTCGCCTGAAGAGGATCTGGGTCTGGAGGTATTCAGGGTTCCCGGCCCTCGAAGTGAAAGAGATATGGGACTATACTAACATTAAAGCATGGCTTTCAGACACTTTCAGTGCCATGGGAGTTTCCGCAGTGTGAAATGGATCCCATGGTACATATCAGTGTTTTCGAATCTTCCTAGTGTCACTTCTGGCTGGAGATCCCCATCATTGACTCCGGGACTTTGTACCAACAATCTGATGAAGAGCACCGGCAGGTGTCCAAGTCCCTCTCGTCTTTGAGCGTTCTTGACGTGATCGAGGACAACCGGTGGTGCAGCATGAGTCGCCAGCAAGCATAAAATGCGCTGCTGCTGCTGCGAGTGCGAGCATCGTACTACCCAGTGCAGCAAGAGAAACCGTTGTGGTAGTGGTACGAGTATTGGCAGGGGCAGCGGTAAGGATACCACCACAACCACCACCCACCACCCACCACCACCACCACCACCCACCACCACCACCCACCACCACCACCACCACCACCACCACCACCTCCACCTCCACCTCCACCTCCTCTACCTCCACCGCCTCCACCGCCTTCACCACGACAACCACCTCCACCGCCTTCACCACCTCCACCTCCTCCACCCCCACCTCGCCTGAGATAAAGTGCCAGTTGTGAAATTCAAAACTGTTCGGAACCCTAAACCAAAGCCAGGAGCCCAGCATCCAGAGCAATGACGCTGCAATGGTTGCGGCGAGGGCTTTGGGCTTCAAGGGCTTCGACGCAGCACAGGCGACTCAAAAGCCGGGATTTTGTGCGATGTTATGAAGGATTCAAGATCTGGAGTGCTCGTGGGAATGGGAGGTTGAGGTTGTAGCAGTTTTGAAACTTGAATGCATACCGATGCGGTGAGTGACGGCCTGACAAACAGAGGAACTTACCACATATCTCCCGACATCTGTCATAAGCATCTTTGTCGCGTGCAGGATCCAAGCCTGGTCCGTATATATATATATATATAACTTTGAACAAATCTGGCTCGCCGACAGAAGTACGAATCCTTTGACGCGGTGAACCTTGCGCTTGCAGAAAGGCGGCTCCTGCCGACGTGCAGACGCAGGCAGCCATCCGGCTGCGGGGCAAGGCCGCACCGTTGCCGTTGGTGGGGAAGTAGAGGTGTGGACTTAGGCTTAGCTTCCGTTTTGACTCCGTGGTCTGCGATTGGTGTAAATTGAACATTTGTCGGCTCGGTTGAAGCCAGAAGTGTCGGTGATTTTTTGCTGGCCGAGTTTTAAGTGGTCTGCGAAGGGTTTCGGGAAAATCGGGGCGCCGACGTGTGACTCTACAAGACAGGCTTGGTGATGGTGTTCGGCCTGATCTGAAGTTTCCTTTGAGCCGTCTCTCAGTCGCTGCGTTCAGACATACTGTGGTGTGCAGCCACGATCTAGATGGGCATGTGCTTGCAGGGCCTTACTGATGGAAGCGAGTTTTTTTGTGCTTGCAGCTCCGGAAACCCGTGGCCACTACTTTCTCTGTCCATGAGCGCTTGGCGTAGACCACTCTGTCACAAAGGGTAGACTTGCTGCTCTGGCCAGTTGCGATCCAAAGAGCTCGCGCAGCTCCGCCAGCTGGTTGAGGGCGACGAAAGGCAGCCTTCGGCAGACGGTTGTAAGCATCTTGCGGTCATCAAACCTTGGGTGGTGCTCCGAAGCTTCTGGAGCTTGCGGCAAAAGCCCAAGCTCGCAAGGTTCGCCCGGCTGCTGGAGAGGCATTGCAAAGCCGGGCACCGAAAGTAGGAACAGGCGGCTTTGGCAAGAGCGGCAATGTCCCGCAGCTGGGCCACCTATACTAATACGTGCACCGGCAGCTGTATTTCCTTTGCATCCATGCTTGCATGTAGCAAGTGCCAGTCGAAATAAGATAAGCTCCTTTGTCATGACTTGCACGAGTTCATGCAGAGATATGTCAATACCGGATCCGCTTGTTACGTGCCGTCTTTCCGGAGAGCTCAGGCCATTCACGAGCTCATTGCCCTTGGCAACCCCGCACCAGCATCTAAGATGCAAGTCAGTCGCGCCATGCGGAACCCCTGCCTTTGTACGCAGGCGTATGTATTTATGTAGCACAAGCTGCAAGATCATATGCCGGCGTGGGCAGGTTGCCAAGTCGAGTATGATTTATGTGCATGACATAGCGCTGTGATATTGCCAAGCCCTCTGTCTTGCAGTGTTGGGCTTGATGAAAGGATGCACCATTGTAACCGTCTTGACCCATATGACCCATGCCGAAGTCGTTTTGCACGTGCCACTTGTGGTCAGGCTAGATTGATCTAAACCCTGAGTCTGGAGGGTAGTCTCTACAAGCACTCTGCACTTTGACGAACAGAAGTCCGGCATCCGAGTCACAGGCGACGCACGAGCCACAGGCAGCAAAGCACCTCAGCACGAAACTGTCCACTGTCCAAGGTGCTGGCGGTTCTGGCCGGCCTGGTTTGGAGCAGCCTTTCCATAGCAGCCTTCCCGCAAGAGAGCGACGTTCCTGAATGTGCGAACGTTGAGATTCATACGACATCACGTGGCAACCAAACCATGAATGCTACAGGGTACTGTACCCAGTGCGCAGTGTACAGAAGGACATTTACTGAAAAACATGTCAGTACTAAAACGAGTCTATCGGGAGACACTTCTGCTTCTGGTGTGGTTTTCAGCTTAGAGATTTAGGGGCAGGAGTGTGCATGTCAGAGTGTGTGATGACCTTGAGTTGATGCGGCTAGCGTTTCTAGGCAGTGCAAAGTTCGGAGGGTTGGTACTATCGGAACAATGAGTTCAAAGGCCAAACAAGCCTCTCCACCAGTGCAGAGCGCTTCCTTGCAAGAGTGGTGCTGCGGAAGATGGTTGGTTCTGTTAGTTAACCCATCGTACTATCCGCACATGAATGTTCCGACTCCGGATTTACGCTACATGTTATGGCCGATGCGCTTGACACGACACATGTCATGAATTTCCCTCCTCATACGTGATAGCATCGTACGTGCTGGCCAAGAAAAGCATTCTATCATTTTCCGCCTGGTACGCCTCGCTCGTTCAGGCTTGGGAGCTCGACACCTCGCACATGCCGAAGGCTGGTGACAGAGGGAAGATTCTACGAGTATTCTAAGACAGTGTTGAACGCTCATTTGCATGTGCTTAATTTAATTATTTAATTTAAATAAGTTTAAACAAACATACATTGAGAGAGAGAGAGAGAGAGTATAACAGACCCCTCATGTCCTGGGGAAGGAGAGAGAGAGAGAGAGAGAGAGAGAGAGTGGCCCCTGCTCTAGGGAAACCGCATTCCCTCCGCCTCTCTCCGCCCGCCATTGCTGAACGCAACGGGGGAGATCCTCACGTGCTTCATCGCGAGGGTCCGGGCCAAAGACATAGTAACGAACGCACCAGTACGGCAACCGCAGCTGTCCAGAACCTTCTCCGCTTCGTCAACATCCACGTGCAGGGCATCGGCGAGCCTATACGGGGGGCAACCTCGACAAGACGCTCCTGCACAACGCTGACGCTGGGCGAGGGAGTACCTGCACGTCGTGACTGAGTTCTTTCTTGGCAAGAAGGACGACCTAGTGACCTTCACCCTACACTATGGCCGGGGAAAAATCCCGTATCTGCAAAACGTGCCGCAAAGGGCCTAGTTCTCATGGTGGACATGAACGGGGCGACCCGGAGTGTATTCTCCATATGGCTTCCAAGGGACTTCGCGCAAGGACGTCGCCGAGTTCCTCAAACAAAAGCAGATCGAGGAAGCTGTGCGCCAGGCATTGCGTGCCTCACCTGCCGGGCC